TTTACATGGTTATTTAATTTCTATTAAAAATTGAATAATTTATTAAAATTTAAACATTAATTTTTTATTAAAATATTATTGGATAATATATATATAAATATAAAAAGTATATAATAAATATATAAATTTTTTTTAAATCGAAAAAATACCTGCATAATAATATGCTACTAGTTTTCTACATTTCAATCTTGATACAGAAAATTTATCATTTTAGCAAAGTAAAAAAATGTTTATAGCTCCAAAATTCGTTAAAAAATTTGTCGTGAAAAAACCCGTAGAATTATAATAAATTTATTCAAATAATTTATTGTCTCGTTACAATTCGCGCGTTTAATCTGTCGATACAAGGCCGGAATCAGACTACGCATTGAAGAATGAGATTGAAGATTGAAGTATGACCAATCAGAACAAAAGGAACCAAAATTTCTTTGTTCTCATTGGTAAAATTTCAATTTTTAATCTTTAATCTCAATCTTCAATGCAATCTGATTCCGGCCTAACAGCTTCCCTAACCTTAAAAAATGTCCTTCACAACGGTTTACTTCTACTTCACTATCGTAAGAACATTTTCTAGTGATTTTCTTCAAACGTAAAGAAAACATTCTTCTATATGATTACCAAAGAACACATTTGACATTTAATATTATATTATCTCTCTCAAAATCATTCTGCTTTCCTTCTCTATCCCGAACTACTTCTTCATGTCAAGTGCAGAAAATGTAACAAAGTGTACTTAAGGGCCATTCCATACAACTTGCAGAGCCGCATAACCAATAACCATATGCATAAAGAAAATTATCTAATCACATTTCTGTCATAAAGACAAACGTAAACTACGATTGGATAATTTTCTTTATGTTTATGATTTTCATATGTTTATGCGGCTCTGCAAGTTGTGTGGAATGGCCCTAATAGTTGCTATTTACCATATTGATATCCAAACATAATATATGATCATAAATAACGTCAATGTAAACAAAAACATGGTATTTTCCTCTTCTTCCTCATTAATTACTTCTACAACTTACGAGCCTCAAGAGATATTTACATTTCATTGTTGAGAAGAAAAATGAGCAAGTTTGATGCTTGTCCGGTCACATTGATGCGACAGAGGCGTATTTTTTCAGCGAAACGTTAATCACGTTATAAGCACGTACGTACCTTGATCAATTTCTCAAAATGGTGCTCCACGAGTCGAAATCTTCGAGTTCACAAGATGCAAGAAACGTTTGATAGTACGATATGAACAATTTCCGTTATTACACGCGCAAACTGCGTAACCGGTACGCGGGCAAACTTTACAAGAACTCGGAGTATGGTCATCGAGAACAAATCTTCCAGAGATAGTCGAGCAAATGACAGCTAATGGGCGCGTTTATAGTGTATTAAGGTAAATTTTCACGAGCTGCTCAAACCGGCTCTTTCAACGACAAAAAGAATCACGTGTTCAAAATTGACAAATATCAGGGTGCCGTCACATGCGGCGTAACCTGCGTAAGGCTGGAGTCCCATGAGGTGTATTTACCGCGTATCGCGTAACCGCGTAACCAATCAGAAGCGATCCGCTGTTGTGGTTTCGCGTTTTACTGATTATTGATTGGTTACGCGGTTACGCGATACGCGGCAAATCCGCTTCATGGGACTCCACCCTAAGCGTAACCGGCGTATTCTAGTAATTTACTAGAATACGTTATTTTTTATTTACTAGAATACGCCATTCTGAAGGCCCGTCTACAATACATGGAGTAAGAAG